ATGTGTGCACTGTACATATATAGGAAATAATGGGTATGAGATGACGGTTCATTTTACTAAATGAGCTATCAAGAGATAACCATGTGGGGAGGCCCACCTTCCTTGTTACATAAAAAAGTGCGGACCTCGCCACTTCCATCTCTTGGTAGCTCATTTTGCTAAATGAGCCATCACCTCATAACCATCAATCCCATATGTGTGTGTTATAAGTATATATAAATCACTTTTTAAATCATTAAAGTGCATGGTGTGCAATGATTTTCTCTTAACTTTGATCATGCGTAAATTTCTAAAGTCTTCTTTCTCATCTCTATGGTACCAACTGCATGCCAAATGTCAAAGGAACAAGGCATTATGTTTTTCTGTTGCTGTTTATTATCTATAATTTTACCTTGAGCTGACTGGAATATTTACGATAATGTGAAATGCATAACTTTAATAATCAAGTGGAAGTAAACAATATGGCTATTTGAAAGTATTGAATGTCATTGTATTGAGCATTTTTATGCACAAGCTCAGCAAATCTGAGGCCATGATGAGGATAGTTCAAGTGATGACCTAAACAGTATTTAGTTGACTTTTCTAGTGGCATAATCAATTCTGTGATTCAGTAAATATTCTAATATTTCTTTTTGAATATAATTATATGATTCTTATTTTTGCTCCAAATTAGTAGGGGAGTATGCGCCTACGTGAGGATAGTAGTAAGGATGACAAGTTGTTGAAACTGCGCTAGGTGCGTAAGTAATGTAACTGTTGCTGGATTCCAGGACACATGTTGGAGAAGAATTGGACAAACCTTTCAATCTGTCTTGGGAATTTCATGTAGTTTCCAAATGAGCTGTATATGTATATTTGAAGTTGAAGCTTGATGAACACTCGGAATGAGGTTTGGAGTGTGATTTTACTGCTAGAATTGGTAATATCAAAATGGAATCTGCATGGCCTTGGAAGCGGTATATTGTACTTGGGCTGTTATCTATTTACCCAAAGCTCAAACCCTACCCCTTTGTAATTCTTGCGATTAACGTTTTTAAAGAAGCATTATCTTCTCCTATTGGAGCAGTTATTGATATTCATGATTCACTGTTCTTTGAATTTACTTGAAATTTTGGTTTCCATTCTTTTGAAGAATAGTTTTACAGCTACATATTGAGTAGGGTTATTGTGTTATTTTATGTGAATTTTATAGCCTAGATGTCTTGTAAGTTCTATTACCTAAATTAAAAATATTTCTTATTGAGTGTGACAACAACCAGATGATGACGACATCTATGTTTTCCTTTATTTATTGACATCCAGAGAGGTTCCGAATCGTCAAGCAAAAGCGAGGCCAGGATAGCAAGAGGATAGACAAGAAGAGCTTTAAAGCAAGCGCAAAAACAAAATTTGATCCTTTTGCATCTAAGGCTATTATTGGCTCTGACTCAGCTTCTGGAGGAATTGAAACACATGGTATGCTGTTATTGTGCATGCTAACTTCTATTTATGTCTTATTTACTACTTTATAAGTTTTCGTAGTAATTCATTCTACCTCTTTTAGGCCTTTGCATCACGCAAGTTAACTCAATTTGAGATTTTGTCATAAAAATATTTGCTTTTGCATTATTATTCCTTGAATCTGATGAGAAGTTGACAAGATAGTGCATGATAGGAAGTGTAGTTGTCACAAAAAAAAGTTAGGTTAAGTATACTTCAAGAAAAATAAGAAACGAAGACCTGAGAACTATGAAATTCCTGTTGAAATTTAAAAAATCTTGGAGATATAGGCTTAGGATGGTTGATTAACTCTTTAGCATTATGGGTACTAAAAAAATGCCCAATAAGTGGAGAATTACTACTTTGACACCGATATATAAGAATAAAATAGATAAACGAAGTTGTTCAAACTATTGCAGTATTAAGCTTGCGAGCCGCACCATGAAACTTTTGGAGAAAGAGTAATTGAGCAAAGTGTAAAAGGAGGCAAGCTTATCCGAGAACCAATTTAGTTTAGTATTTGAGTAAGTCAAGTATGTAACCTATTTATCTATCGTGACAATTGATAGATAGATATAAAGAGAAGAGAACATATCTACATATGGTATTTATTGATTTAGAAAAAAGCCTATGATAGAGCGTCGGGAGAGATAACATGGTAGGTTAGTAATTTCAAAGGCGCACACATCACTGTGCCTCATACGCCCTGCGATGCGGGGCAGTGGCGAAACGCCTCACATCTAATGCAACAACGTCTTTTGTGCGTCGCAAGTGACCTGTGATTCACATAGGGCGCATGCTCACGTAGGGTGCATGCTAGGCATAGCCACATATAGTTTTGTTCTTTAACATGTCAATCATGGCTTTATAGATGACGACTCATACCCAAAAAGCAAAATAAAGCTGTTATGCCTTTTTAGTAACCTGATTGAGGACCATAAGTTTGCTTCAATATTAGTCTTGATTTGACTTTTGATTTGAAAATTTATGAACTTTGCTCTATGTTGGATGTGTTAGCATGAGAAATTAAGACCTTATTTTGTAATTTCATAGTAGATTTTGTTTATCTTGACATATTTTTATGTGGATATATAAACATGCTTTTTTCGTGGTTGATAACCGTCTTGAAAATTATGTGTGTGGTGTGCGTCTTGCTTCACACAGGTGCATGCATTGCATCGCGCCTTGCGCACAGTGTACACGTGAAGAGGCTTTGCGCTCCGCCTTGCGCCTTGCGCATTAATAACATTGTGGTATGTTTTAAAAAAGAAATAAGTATCTAGTAGGTATATTAATGTGATTAAAGATATGTATGAATGAAGAACTATGGTGAGAAAAATTGAGGGAGAAACAAAACCGTTTCTTATACCATTAGTTTACATCAAGGATCAGCTCTAAGACTGTCTTTTTTGCATTAGTTATGGATGAGCTTATTAGGCATATTCAAGAGGAAATACATGATTTATATTATTTGTTAATGACATAGTATTGGATGATGAAACTAAGAAAAATATAACTTTTAAAGTAGAAAGGGGGAGAGAAGCATTTGAATCTAAAGGATTTAATAGTAGCAAACAAAAACAACATGCATGGGATGCAACCTTACTAAAACTACAACAAAGATTAAGGGTATAGTTGTACACTTGTACTGTCAGGCCAAGAAACACCTAGTCATTTTTATTATTTAGGATCATTATTCGTCATGATTATGAGCTTGAGGGTGATGTGGTTCATCAAATTATGAAGTGCTTTGAGCGTATATGGTATTCTATGAAGGGAAAGTTTTTTGAGATAATTATAAGATCCACAAAATGTTATATGGATCAGATATTGGGCACTTAAAAACAATATTTGCAAAAAATGAGTGTAGTAGAAACGGGAATGTTAAGGTAGACAAATGGATATACATTAGAGATAGAATAAGAAATGAGTGCTTTTGCTCTTATTTGGAGTTTGCTTTTATAGAGGTCTTCTTATAGAGGATACAGTGAGAGAATCGTTTGAGATGGTTCGATCATGTGCTACGAGACCATTAAATGCACTAACTAGGGATGATTATATTATAATTATTGGAGAAAGAAGGACTAGAGGTGGGGCTAACAGAAGTTGGGTAGAAACTATTTTAAAATGATAATGTAATGTTTAACTTAATGGAGGTGATGGCCTTTAACAGAAATGAGTGGAAGAGTAGGATTCATATAGCCGAACCCAAAAATTTGGGAAAAGGCTTTGTTGTTGTTGTTGTTTATCTGCTATGTACAATCTAATGCTTAAGAATATTCAGGGGATTTAGCTGAACAAATTTAAGCAGTAGCAAAATCTTTGAATTGCCAGTGTGCACAAGGGAATATGTTGGCTCTAAAACAGCCGTATAAGACGGTGACCATAAGAATCCAGCGACCCTAGGGATTGTGATGTTCAGCTAATGGATAGTTGTTCTGTTCTCTACCCCACTGCTAAGTATGTCTAGAAAGAAGTCACTACAGTTATTTTTGCTGCCAATCTTCTTCTGATCGCAAAGTACTTATTGTTTACCAGCAATTTGAACCTGGAATTTGTCCCCAAATATCAGTAATGAATAGCAGGTGTAAACTGTTTTCAGGTTTAGTCCGATTGTCTCTCTCTTCTTTTAATCTTATGTTGGCATTTTCTAGCCATCTCAAAATATTAGGTCGGTTTTTATTCTTTTCCCATAGTTTACACCAATTATTTTCTCGTGCTCTTATATGTTTTGTCCTTGTCATAAAGGTTGTAAAATTCGTCTTTCTTACATTGCAGCGAACTTTTAGCAGCTATCAACCTAGCCCCTTCCATGGTAGAATCAATTCACAATTCAGCATAGGCAAAACTTGGTCCTAGATTGGTACCCTGACAACCAGTATGCATCAGTTTGCTTTTTAGTATCTGACTGCGATCTGGGGAATTTGGTCTTTTTCGTTACTGTCTGCCAATCATTAACACTTCTCTTTGTTATTTTATTTTCTTTAATTTGATAATCATGGTGTCAGCTGCAGACTTTTTACACAAATTAACTTAACACAAATTCTTTATGATTTCCAACGGCTGAGTTGATGTTTCCTGCGGTCATTATTTACCAATGTTGCTTCCCTTGAAGGGATCTCTTGACTATTTGCATGCAAGGTTTCCTTGGTGTCCTATACTCTCTTTTTTTGCATTGTTCCTCTTCAGATTACTTTATCTGAGTTCTTCCTAGTAATTGCTGGAAGAATTGGTATTATTCTTTCCTTCTGATACATTTAAGTGAGAGAAGTTTGCATAGCCTTTCTGGGGGGAAAAATGTGCTTTTCCACTATTTAGTGATGTTGTTGTAAAATTAACTAGCTATGTTATTTTGAACTTACTTGAATGGTATAACACAGGACTATATGGTCTCAAGTCCGATCTCTATGATGTTACACAACATGTGGAAGAGCTTTCACTAGATGAACTGCTTGATGGCAGTTACAAATATCCTAAGTTCTGTCGAGAAAAAGGAAAAAAGGCTTCAAGTGACAATGAAAATATTCTCCTCTTAGTGCGAAAGGCTTGCTCTATCCTCCAACTTCACGGAGCAGCTAGTAATTACAGCGACAGAAAAACTTCAACAAGCATCCCGAACCCTACTTTGTCTTCAATAAACATGTCAGATGAGGATGATAAAGTCTTATTGTTGATTTAAAATATTTTAGATTTAATCTAATTCTTCCTTTGTAATTTTCAGGTCTCCTCTCAGGAAATATTGAGCACCTCAACCTTGTATCGTCCTAAAGATATTTTGGAGCATTTAACACTTCCTCCAAAACTGGATCTTGAAGATTTTATATCGAATTTAAATCCTTCACAGTGCACCATGGGCATGAAAGTTTTCAGTAGTTCTAGTTTGCCACCTTGGTCATTTTCACATGGGGGTACCTGCAAACCTGTTCTAGATTCTTGTAGATTTTCCCTGCCACGGGGCGGCGGTCAGAGTAAATGGGTTAGGATAGAAAGAAGATCAACTTCAACTGGAGATGATAACAGTCGCCTCTCTGGCCTTGAAAAGAAGACATTTGACTATTATGACAATTTGGCTAACCAGCAAAAGGTTGATGAACTTCTTCAAGATGTAGAAGTGCTGTCTGAATCTGTTTTACATCCATTTAGTGGGCCACAGAGCACATCGGAATCCCATGGCCTACACTGTAGTAATTTAGTTAAAGAATCTGGTGCTTCTTGTTCTCTCGAGTCTATAGAGCTTGAACCACATCATGAGCATTCAAAAAATCAAAAGAAAGATGACTACAAAGATAATTTGTGTGATCAAAATTCTGAGTCTGAAGCTGGTTTGAGGTGTCTGGGAAACGAATCAAGTTTAGCTGATTCCCCAAAACCTGATCCACTATGCAAGGGCAATGAAATTGTTCAGGACGAGCACCCTAGAAGAATCACAGATGATTGTTGCAGAGGCTGCTCTGGTTATTCTTCAAGATGCTCCACTAGAGGATATGAGCAAGGTTTATCACGCTCTCCTGCATCTGATGTACCTAAACAAGGTAATAACCTATAATCTGACATGGTGATTGAAGCTACTTGCATCTGAATAGAACGTATTATTGCTTAACAGATGAAACTTACATTTTTTTCTTCAAGTAAAATCTGACAGGTATTGCGTTTGGTTGCATCTACATTTAATACAAGTTTTTTCTTTGTCATATAGTTGCTTGATTTTTTGTGTGTGTGGTATTCTTGGGTAATGTGTGGCATTTGTGTCATGGCCAACTTTCTATGATATTTTATTACATAATACTTTACTTTCCTGTTTGTTCTTTCAATAGAAAGTTATCTTAATCTTTCTAGTATCATTGAATAACATATTTACTAAGTTACTAGAGTACAACCTAGGGTCCCGTACACGTGTTCAACCTGTTTCAGGTGGGGATCGAAACACGGTGGACACTGGTAGGCAGCCTGTACGTATTTCCCCAACTTAATGACACAAGTTATTTTGGGAAAAGTGCTTTTTGTAGAAAAATAATCCAAGCAGCATATGAATTGGAAAAGCAGCACAAATAACAAAGAGGCAATGTATTAAGTACAAATAACAAAGAGAATGTGTTAAACCCATTCCCTCAGTCTACTATTTATTGGGAAGACGAGAAGTTGCATTTATAGTAGAGGTTAGTGTATAGAAGAGTAATTAAAGCCAAATAGGGATTGAAAAAACAACGGAAATAACAAAGGCACGATTTTAAATACAATATGCATCAAGAACCCAACAATTGAAGATGGCTGTGATGGACTCATTGACCCATCTCGATTCTCTCAGCAAATGCCCAACAACGATGCACAAAGGAAACACGGCGACGAAAATGGAAATCAAGACGACATTGATCCGCTCATTATCGTCGCTAACACATCGAGGATCCGATTGATCGCCATTCATCTAAGCGCAGATCTAGGTTTCAAAAAGTAATTTTTTGGGGGGATTTTGGGAGTCAGAAGGACTCTGAATTTTGGCGGGTAGGAGTATGTGAGCTCTATATAGCAGCATCGGATTGCCACGGGGGGCAGTGTTTTTGGATTGGACAGATTTACTTTCCATTTGTTCTCTCTTATTGTTGATTTAAAATATTTTAGATTTAATCTAATTCTTCCTTTGTAATTTTCAGGTCTCCTCTCAGGAAATATTGAGCACCTCAACCTTGTATCGTCCTAAAGATATTTTGGAGCATTTAACACTTCCTCCAAAACTGGATCTTGAAGATTTTATATCGAATTTAAATCCTTCACAGTGCACCATGGGCATGAAAGTTTTCAGTAGTTCTAGTTTGCCACCTTGGTCATTTTCACATGGGGGTACCTGCAAACCTGTTCTAGATTCTTGTAGATTTTCCCTGCCACGGGGCGGCGGTCAGAGTAAATGGGTTAGGATAGAAAGAAGATCAACTTCAACTGGAGATGATAACAGTCGCCTCTCTGGCCTTGAAAAGAAGACATTTGACTATTATGACAATTTGGCTAACCAGCAAAAGGTTGATGAACTTCTTCAAGATGTAGAAGTGCTGTCTGAATCTGTTTTACATCCATTTAGTGGGCCACAGAGCACATCGGAATCCCATGGCCTACACTGTAGTAATTTAGTTAAAGAATCTGGTGCTTCTTGTTCTCTCGAGTCTATAGAGCTTGAACCACATCATGAGCATTCAAAAAATCAAAAGAAAGATGACTACAAAGATAATTTGTGTGATCAAAATTCTGAGTCTGAAGCTGGTTTGAGGTGTCTGGGAAACGAATCAAGTTTAGCTGATTCCCCAAAACCTGATCCACTATGCAAGGGCAATGAAATTGTTCAGGACGAGCACCCTAGAAGAATCACAGATGATTGTTGCAGAGGCTGCTCTGGTTATTCTTCAAGATGCTCCACTAGAGGATATGAGCAAGGTTTATCACGCTCTCCTGCATCTGATGTACCTAAACAAGGTAATAACCTATAATCTGACATGGTGATTGAAGCTACTTGCATCTGAATAGAACGTATTATTGCTTAACAGATGAAACTTACATTTTTTTCTTCAAGTAAAATCTGACAGGTATTGCGTTTGGTTGCATCTACATTTAATACAAGTTTTTTCTTTGTCATATAGTTGCTTGATTTTTTGTGTGTGTGGTATTCTTGGGTAATGTGTGGCATTTGTGTCATGGCCAACTTTCTATGATATTTTATTACATAATACTTTACTTTCCTGTTTGTTCTTTCAATAGAAAGTTATCTTAATCTTTCTAGTATCATTGAATAACATATTTACTAAGTTACTAGAGTACAACCTAGGGTCCCGTACACGTGTTCAACCTGTTTCAGGTGGGGATCGAAACACGGTGGACACTGGTAGGCAGCCTGTACGTATTTCCCCAACTTAATGACACAAGTTATTTTGGGAAAAGTGCTTTTTGTAGAAAAATAATCCAAGCAGCATATGAATTGGAAAAGCAGCACAAATAACAAAGAGGCAATGTATTAAGTACAAATAACAAAGAGAATGTGTTAAACCCATTCCCTCAGTCTACTATTTATTGGGAAGACGAGAAGTTGCATTTATAGTAGAGGTTAGTGTATAGAAGAGTAATTAAAGCCAAATAGGGATTGAAAAAACAACGGAAATAACAAAGGCACGATTTTAAATACAATATGCATCAAGAACCCAACAATTGAAGATGGCTGTGATGGACTCATTGACCCATCTCGATTCTCTCAGCAAATGCCCAACAACGATGCACAAAGGAAACACGGCGACGAAAATGGAAATCAAGACGACATTGATCCGCTCATTATCGTCGCTAACACATCGAGGATCCGATTGATCGCCATTCATCTAAGCGCAGATCTAGGTTTCAAAAAGTAATTTTTTGGGGGGATTTTGGGAGTCAGAAGGACTCTGAATTTTGGCGGGTAGGAGTATGTGAGCTCTATATAGCAGCATCGGATTGCCACGGGGGGCAGTGTTTTTGGATTGGAGAATGGGAAGCGAGATGCATGCCAAGATTGTTTAGTGTATAACTGTAGATATGAAAATCTAAACCTTAGATATACCCCCATCAATATCTGAACTGAACGCAAATTATACCAACTGAATCAGTTATTGAATCAGTTTAGATATAGATTTATACTAAGATTTTATAAAGTTGAATTATTTTCTTTTGTCATTTCTTAATCATAATAATCTTTTGAATTAGTGGATAATGTGTATGCTGATCAACTTGTATTTCAATCTTAGATATCCCTCTCTGTCTAATTAATAAATACTTGTAATCTGTAATTAATAAATACTTGTAATTGATTATACCAAATAAGTAAGACGTATACTAGATTTTATAAAATCAATAATGTGTCAGCTGATTAATTAAACATGAATCTTAAAATTGACCCAAACTTCTTTTGCTCATGAGCTAGGCTTTGGGCTTGCCTTGCTATATTTGTCTCAGTAGGCTTTGCTCAAGGCTCAATTTAACACAAGTTTCATATGGGCTTGGGGCCCTGACCCCCGCACTTATCACTAGCCCGTTGTTGAATTAGATTCGTTATAACTGAAACGTGAGGAGATTGATTTCAATTGTGTTCTAAATCATTACGCCAAAACCAAATCTATCTCAATTCTCAAAGTCTCAACTAATAAAGTCGTCTAGTGATAAACCATTGGCACCCCACTGTACAGATATGAAACATTCCATTCAGTCCAATCCTCAATTTTCAAGCTAAAAAATTGTGAGAATTTATCGGGGCGTAACAAGTGCTTCTATAGAGAGATCAATGAGCAATGACGAAAAACATGATAACAGTCCGCTGTTAATGGAAATAGCGATAACAACCCTATCTAAACTAATATTTCGTCGAAATGTTTCCCAATTAGTGAGAACCCAGCCTCATCGCACTGGACAAAGGAAAGAAAAGGCCCCGTGGAATATGCTTGACACACCATAGATGCCTCCATTGAGCTCGCTTCTCATCTGAAACATTATTTTCCAAGGACAGTCTCACGAGCAGATTGAGTCGAGAAAACACCATTTGACAAATGACATCGTATCGAAACATCATTCATCCCTTCCTCCACCAAGATATCGAAGACGAAATTGAATATCCTGAGGGAGCCGTTGAGATAGAACACTCCAATCACAGTCATAAATTCATAGCCTACCTAGTAATTATAAACTTTCTTATCCACTTCCGTGGTGGGACTTAATGAAATAAGCAAAAGGGACATCAATAAGCCAACAATCTTTCAAAAAATCAGCTTTCTGACCATTTTTCAAGCGCCATTTGAGTTCATTGAGCAAGATGATGTCACTCTGATCTATTCCTTTCCAGATATTTGAAGATTGCGGCTTCAGCGAGGATGTGAGCGTTTGATCCCTAATAAGATACCTTGCCTGAAGCGTTTAAGTCCACAACTCATTTTTGTCGTGCATTATATGACATACCAGCTTGGCAAGTAGCACTTTGTTAGAGACCGCAGTTCGCTTGAGGCCTAAAGCCTTTGGTTTACGAACCATTCCTCCATGCCACTAGTATAATTTTCGTCGAGTGCCATCATGTCCCCAAAGGAAATTTCGATGGCAACTGTCAAATTTTCATAAATACTGGTGGGGAGCTTAGCTGTCTGCATCACACATGTAGGAATCGTGGAAGTCACCGAGTTTGCTAGTACCTGTCTATCAGATAGTGAAAGAGAAGAAGCTTTCGACCCAGACGAGTGTTTTTGAACTTTTTCAACCATGTAACAATATATATCTTTAGTAACCTGGCCATGAATAAACAGGATACCTAAATATCTTTCGAGGTCAGAAGCCAAAGAGGTGCCACATCTCACACTAATCCCTTGAGCCAGATGTCTTGGGACATTTGGAGAAATCAAACAATTACACTTGCTAGTGGTAGCCCTAACATGAACGGCCACAAAAGAGCTCTTCATCACCACATCCTGTTGAGATGAAGCCTCACCAAATAGCATTAGATTGTCTTCAGAAAACTAGTGCGAGATTTGGGGACCCCTCCGTGTCATCGGCTTCCAACTCCTCAACAACTTTTTGATCAATCAGATGGGCTAGCTTTTCCATACATAAGGCGAAGACATATGGGTTTGAGAAAATCAGCCTGATTGAATCCCGATTCGGCACACAAAATGAAGCGGTTGCTTCACCATTTTAACGCATTGGGAGACTGGTCTCCCAAACACTGCTCATAAATAAAGAGATCTCTGCCCAAAGCCAATCTCATCAAGCACTTCGTGTACAAAAACCCATCGAATCCGCTGCTCTGGTCATAAGCTTTCCCAAGATCAATTTTGCTAACCATACGCCCTTCCTTCCCTTTCTTGATGGAGATTATGAAGAACCACTTGGGTGACAACCATGTTATCTGTCGTTTGATGTCCAAGGATAAAGCTTAACTGTGCGGGGAAGACAATCTTTCAGAGGAGAGGGCGACACGATTTACTAGCACTTTCGTAATAATCTTGAAGATTACATTGCATAAACTGATTGGACAAAACTTGTGGTATATTATTTTCATGTTGACATTACTTTGTTTATCCATTGGACATAAATGTAAAATTGTGGTATATTAATTTTGACTTCTACATTATTTTCCTGGAAGGTGTGTATATTGTGTTGTTTTTAACATTAGCAAGAGCATCTATTTTTGCTTGTTAATAAAAAATTCTGATGCAGACTCGCAATCCTATATATGCTTCATAACGTAGTATCAGTTTCTTTAGCCATATATGAGTAGCTCATGGGATCAATAAGACTATTCATGTGCTACCCTGTATATGCCTTCACATGTATCACAATGTATCATGCATCAGACGCTTAGATTATCAGTTTCTATGGAACATGCTATGGAAGTGCTTCTAGAGGCTTCGTGTAGATGATTGAAGATGATGGATTATTCACATCAACTTTAGAAGATGTTCAATGCCATTGTTGAATTAACTGTAACCATTAGCTGTATAGTCCATCAACACCCAGCAATTTGTTTAGTTTTGCAGGTGACTTGCCTTTCGAACTTTAGATATTAATTATCTTGAAAAAGCTATAGGCTGAAAGCTTTTGAATATCCTTAATTCCATCATCATCATCATTATTATTTTTTTTTTGTGGATCTCACTATCAAACATCTGGTTTGTACATTGGCTTTTCTGTTTTGATGCTTTTGAGTGGTGAAACGTCTATTAGAGTCGATCACTAGGGTAGGATGACTGCTAACTTATACCGGCAATACCCATGTCCTTTTCTGCTAAGTTGAAATTGAGCAATCCACGGTGTCTTCTTTTGAGTAAACCTTGTCTGCTTTCTGTTCTTAGTTCTTTTCTTCACCGTATTCTACCCCGTCCTCTTGTAGAGGTAAGCGTTCTTGTTTGCTCAACACTTGAAACTTACATATGCTTTAATGGAACAGGTCGTTCTTCAGAGTTGTTGGCTGCTGCTTCAATACTATGTGAGATTGCTAGCTGTTCCCATGCGAAAAAGGCGCAGAAAGATACCTTCATGAGGGCTAAATGTGCATTTATGGAAAAGAAGAGTAAATATCTTAACACATCGTCCTCTGTCGAGAGAACAGAGAGGTTATTTTTGGCCCCAAGAAACCACGAAAGCTTTAAACGGGCAGCCATACCGTCATCAAGAGTACACAAACTGATCAGTGAACAACAAAGGGAGTTCACACACACAGACAACGTGAGCAGAGAACCTGTGAAATGGTTTGTATCTGCTGAAGCTGGTTGTGCTTCGTCGACAAAGTTAGAAAAGAACCACACGAAAACGAACAACAGGGTTCTGCATGGAAATTCCATAAAACAATCAGGTTTGATGCCGTCACCAATAAAGGTTGAGAACGTTTATGGCAGCCATCTGAAGCTTGGAAAAGAAAAATTGAAGGCTTCATCGGTAATCTTCGAGGAAAACTCTACTAAAGACAGGAGCAGAGTGAAGAGCCAGAGGGGGTGATCATACATTATTATTCTAACACTAGAAGTGAAAAGATTGTGATTGTAAAGGTGGAAGATTGGCTAGTTTTAGATTTTTAGATTTAACATTAGCTAAAATTAAGCTGACAAGTTTTATGTACAGACTTTCAAAAGTTGTTGACCCTGGAAAGAGGGAGAATCCAATTTGTATGCTGAAATGAGAGCCGTTTGTCGATAACAGTTGAATGTTGTGATCATCGTTACCATTATTTATTTCGACTCAGGTAAGTTATTTGTAATGAAGTGTAGCTATTATTTGCGACGATGGTTTTGTGTAAAAGATGACATTTATGAAATGATGAGAAGCTGTCTCGTTACAATTAAAATTTGCATTCCAGATCTCAGAGAAATTCCATGTTCTTTCTGCACTGTGAGGAGACGTGATTAGGCTTGCGGAGGTTCCTCAACTTGCATGTCTTCAGCAAGTTCTCTATATCAGACGCAAATGGTTTTTTTTTTCCTGGAACATTTTAAAAAACCCCAAAATGAATTTAGGTGTTCTCCACTTAAATCCTCAAAAATTCACCATGGCTTGGTGAAGGTGAAAAGCCCAGGAATAGGAAACGCCATTTGAGAAATTAGGTTCCTAGTCTCCATTCGGGTGTTATTTTGGGTTAGGAAACGTCAGCAAGAAATGGAAAATTCCGAGCTTTTTGAGCGGAATTGCGTGGAATCGAGCAAAAAAGAATAATAAATAAATTTGTGGGCGCCGTTATTTTCGTTTCCAGTAGGATTTATGAGGGAATAGGCTCCGACGCTACTAATTTTTTTATGTCTTGATTTCCATTTGACTCTATTGCTTCCAAACAGCAGAATGAGAAATTGCTGATTTTCATTCTTTTATTGTAGGCTACTTTGAGTGAAACAAACAAAGAATAGAATTTACATGGAAAACACCAGAAATGCCTAGTCCGCATAGAGAGGGTGATTCCTATTATTTTTAGAACCGAACCAAACAGCGTTTAACACACAATTTAGCTCTACAAGATTGTCAGTCCCACGGAGTTCGGAAACTTTTATTTTCAAAATCGATCTAATTTTGCTGATGTGGCTTGAACTAGGTCCATTTTAATAAATATTTTACAAATAGTTCAAAATCTAATAGTTTTTTTTAAAAGAAATGTCCCTTCATCGAAATATTTCATGCTTTTGGGGGGAGTGGTCTGTTTTTATTGGGCTCCCCAGGTCAAAACTTAAGGTATGGGCCATCCAACAGGCCCAGGCCAACCCACAAACTAGTAGCGGTAACCCATAAAAGACAACATTGCCCCGAGATTGATGAGAGTCGCCGATTCTGACCATTTTATCTCTATCGCTCGCCGAGAAAGAGAGAGAGAGAGAGATATATTTACAGTCTGAAGTTCGCCGGAGAGATGGCGACGCTGTGGATCCTCTCGTCCCCTCCGATGCTTCATCTGCCCAGCGGCGGCGGCCTGAGCACCGTCAAAAGCAGTCCTTTTCTTGTTCCTCCTCCCCCTGTCCTTGTTGAGCGGAGGAGATTTTTGAGGAGGAGAAGTCACGTGGTGCGCATGGCTCCTGAGGAAGAGAAGATGACTCGTCGCTCCCCTCTCGATTTCCCCATCGTATGCGCCCCCTCTCTCTAATTTCTCTCTCTCTCTCTCTCTAATTTGAGCTGAAATTAGTTTTTATTTGGGTTTGATTGTTTATGATCAGCGTTGGAAGTTTTGATATGTTAACGTTGGGTTTTTTGAGATGTTGGCCCCAGAACTCTCATCATGAAATCGTAGAAATAAGTCGCCGCAACTCGCTAGTTATCCAATCACGGTCACTCTAGTTGAAATTTTTCGGTCGTGAAGACTGCTCCTCTCACTAAAAACCCATCAGAATTCACCTTTTGTTACACGCTCCTAAGTGCAAATTGCTTGAAAGAGCTTTTTCCTCCGTGACCGATAAATATGGGGGGTTTAAGGTATTATTATGGCACGGTTGGGGGGTTTAAGTCAGGAGTATGATGGGAAGACGGAAAAAATAACAATTTTTACTGTCAATTAGTGTTGAAATACCATATTCAATGCTAGGAGTAGTAGTCTGGGGTAACCATTATCTCGAAAACCCTTTACTTTCTTGTATCATCTAATTCGATAAAACGTGGAGCGTCTAGATTCACGTGTTGGATTAATTTTTCGAACAACTTATCCTGCCAACAAAGTGGCGACGTCTTGTAGTAAAAATGATATTTCAGTGGATTGTGCATTTGGAAGGGTTTATTATGTAGTACAAAGTTAGAAATCAATGTTAAGGGCATGATCTTAGAAATCTCGAGGAGGCTCGTCTATTGACACTTTCCCTATGGGGGTTAGACTTCATTTTTGATTGGATGGGACTATGGAAATCCATCTCTTTCTTAAGAGATGGATGGTTTTGTTGTGTCGATGCTTTTTGAAGGCATCAGTGAGTCGGTGACTATTGTTGAAGAAAAAGAATGTCGACGTGATTTTTTGTTTGGTTGATATTGTAGAGGATAAATAAATTTCATTATAGGAGTATGGAACTTTTGATTTCCTTAAAGAAGACTGTTCGAAAACACTTAAATCGAGAACCTGTCTCAATGAAGTATACACTAGACTACTGTGTGAATTGATAGTTGTAAAAACCTGAAAGTTGGGAGAACAAGTTAAAGTTTATGGGCAGTCAGTTATTTCTATGCTTTTTGCACTTGAGTCTATATATTCTGGATCAACTTATAGAGTCACTTTAAAAAAGTTCTGGTATATAGTTAGGGTTCACAAATTTAGATGATAAATCATTGTTCTCCAAGTACTGATGAAAGTTAGGTTAAATATTCAGGGTTCACATTTAGTTTATAAGTCATTGTCCTCCATGTCCAGATGAAAGTTATATTAAATGTTACGGGTTCACAAATTTAGTTGACAAATCATTGTTCTTCACAAATTTAGTTGATAAATCATTGTTCTTCTTGTTCAGATGAAAGTTATATTAAATATTAAGCGTTCACGAATTTAGTTGACAAATTATTGTTCTCCAAGACATTTGAATACAAATAAAAAAATTCTTTGGATAAAATGTGATATGAGGACAACAATTATCTGATTTTTTTGTTTTAAAATAATCACATGTAAACCTTGGCATCCATTGCAAAATTGAAATTTGATTAACCATATACCAGCTCTCCAATAGGTTAAAATGGACGTGAAATAGCCATGAGAATCAACAAAAACATGATAGAGATGACCTTAATTGTATGCTTTATAGCTTAAAATTCTCGCAATACAGTTTTATGTGTTGTATTCCAAAATTATGGTGATGATGTTATGCCACATTTAAGATTTTTGCTGATTATGCAAAAGGATCGGCATCAATGGATATATCCGCATCCATATCTCTAGGATATGGATGTGGATGTTCTACTATAAACTTAAATTTTTTGAGATGAATCATGAGTAATGCTTATGAATTGGGGAGAGCAAATGTTCAGTTCGGTTCGTTAACCGAACCGAATTAGAAACTAAAACCGAACCAAACCAAATTTGTCTGGTTCTATTTGGTGGTTCTGTTTGGTGGGTTTTGTTTGGTCTTTACAAGCCCACCACAAAAGCACCAACACATAGAAACTTAGAATGGACACAACTAGGCAACTATGACGGAGGAGGCTTTTTGAATTTGATTAAAATTGGAAGTTGCTTGAGTTTGATTAAAAATTGGAAAATGAAGCAGTTACGACTTACGAGACTGCTTGAGTTTGATTATAGAGTAGTAGCTGATGGAGATTGCAGTTTGATAATGGCTTCCTTTTGGGTACATCGAAGAAGAGGACATAGTTGAGCTGACTCTGTCTCTCTCCTTTGTATGTGTGTGTACACATTTATCATGACAACTAATATTGAGTTCGACATAGAAATAGGCAGTCACATGGGTGTTTTGCTGAACCCTGTTAGAAGTGTGTGAGAGGTGGGTGCATATCATGTTATTGGGTGTAGTTCGATCGATTTGGTGATTTTATTGATTCAAGAAAGCTAAACCGGTTCTATTGAGCTAAATACAAAAACCGACCCAAACTGCCCAAGATTGGGCGGTATTGTTGGTTCAAACCGAAAATCTACTCAACCCTGCTTGTGAAGAGTAAGTGCAAATACTTTAGCATATAGGGTGAGCCTAACGTCTTATTCACATTTATTTTTAAACATACACACGGAAAGTTGGATTTTTGCCCATAACCCAAGGTTTTTTCCCCATTTATTTTTAAATCTACACGCCTGCAAACTCCAAAGTTGTATTTTGTGTCTATAAACCCAAAGTTGTACCCTTTATTAATTTTTGACCGGCCGATTCTTAAATCTTATTATGTTTTTTGCGTTGGGACAAAAAGTTTTACCCCAAATTTATTTTTAAGCCCACACACCCTAAGAAGGGTTTTTGCATTCAAATCAATAGTTTTATCCCTTTTTATTTTTAAACCCATCCATTTTGGAAAAGGGCTTTCCTCAAGTAAGCCCAAAGATTTTCCTATGTTCATTTTTAAACTCATCCACTTTCAAATTTCACTCATAGACTCAAAAAACTCAACTGAATTAATCTTAAACCCACTTTGTATTTTACCTTTTTGGTATATGATGTAAGAGGATATACTGCTATACTTGCTATATTTTTATTTTAAGTGGTTAGTTATGTGATTTATTTCTAAACAAAATGTTTAAATTGTTATTTTGTTTTGACTTTTTTCACACTAATACCATGATATTGCGAACTGTAGATGAATTTGTAGCCTATAAACTCAAAGTTTTGCCCCCATTTTTTTTGAAACTCACCCACTTCCAGAAAAGGTTATTTATCAGTAAACCAAAATTTTCCCCATTTATTTTTTAACTCACCCATTTCAAAATCCTGTTGGACCCGAAATACTTCACCAAATTATTTTAATCTCATATCGCTCTTGAAGGATCTTAATCAGGAGATGCATTGATGGAGCTGTTCCAAAATGATTAGGTAAAAGGCTAGTGGATGTAGTTGAATTAAGCATATGATCTTAGGGGCTGACCAGACCCATTGAATAAGTTGCATGGAAACGGACACGGGTACTGGTACGGGTGCGGGTACGGGACACGGCAAAACGATAAAATGTAGGGTACGGGGACACGACTACATATATATTGAATTAATATTGTACATAAGATAATTTTTTCCCCTTCATGTGTCATTAGAATTAAAATTCCGATCACATTCTTGAGTTTCTTTTATCATATTGATTATCGTGAATTGTAAACTACTCATTTTTTTACTAGACATCTAAACGACCCATTAACTATATAGTTTTACTAGACATCTAAACGACCCATTAACTATATAGTTTTAAACTTGGGTATGGACTGAAACGAATCTGACTCGTATCTCATTAGTGTCAAAAGACGGATGTGAAGTATAAGCTCTACGTCCAGGAAAGACGAAGTCTTTGACAAGTGTTTTAAATTAACACATATCGTATAATTGAGTACATGTTGTAATAAACGCATGCATATATTCAAGAAGTGTCCATGAAGTTTGGGTACGGGAAAGTGTCGGGTACGTGTCCGGTACGAGTACGTCTTCATTATAGAAGTACCCGGGTAACATAGCTCATGAGTCATGACCTATAGCTTAAAGGATCTTGTTAGAAATGAAACTTTCTTCAGCTTTGGCTTTTGGGTTGTATCTCACATTGGTTGAGCAGGCAGACAGATGATGTGTAGTGCTGGGGGTATGTCTAGCGGTGTACAGATGCCACTTATGATTGTAAGAAATTCTTTGATTGTTCACTCGTGCTTTTCATGTGAAATAAAAAATAGCCACAGAGAGAACGAGAGATTAAGAGAGGGATGTTGTCTTGTGAATTATCTTCATTATTGTAGATTTCTTGCGTTTGTGTCTGTGGAGTAGGATGAAATTGGTTGGACAAGCCATATATCTTTATGTTGTTTCTTTTCCAGTGATGTATTCATCCTTGGAGGGGATCATCGTCTCGATACACATTTGTTGTTACTAATGTGTTACTATGTGTTGTATGATTGTATCCCATATTCATCTTAACCGAGAAAGTATCCAGTGATCCCAGCAACTACACTAATGGTGCATCAAAGAATATCAATCATTGGATTAATAGACTTCGGAATGCGTGCACAATGGTTTGACACCCCTCTAGTTCATCATTAATTAATATGATAGAGAGGGACTACTGGATCCTTCCTTCGTCTTGGTCTCTTTACTTTATGTCTCTATATTGATTCTTTTATTGATGACTTGGCCATTGTTTGAATCAAATCATGTATGTACCGCTGGTGGATCACATAAAGGCGAAAAACGTGGCAGTGAAAATGGTTCTCAAGTTCTCTTGATCAGGTGATGCATTGCTGTAGCTGATCCAATACGATTAGGTAGACTCTTAGCAGATGTAGTTGGTTTATGCATATGATCTTGAGGGCTACCTAGTCCCATTAAGTTTCCTACTGAAACTTCCAACCCAGATTATAGCTTAAAGGAGCTTTGATCAACAGTCAACATGGAACTTTCTTCTGCTCTCGTTTTTGGGGTTGTATCTCACATTTGTTGAGCAGGCAGATTGACTTTCTGCTGGTCCTTTGCTTTGTTTGGAGTCTGGACCATATTTGTTGGGATTGCCTATTAACATAGTGCTGGGTTTTTTGTGTAGTAGTATACAGATGTCACTTTTGAGTGTAAGAGGTACTTAAATTTTCACTTATGCTTCGAATGTAAGACGAAATAGCGACATAGAGGACGAGTAAAATAATGGTTATCTTGTAATTTATGTTCGTTCTAGTGGATTTCTTGCATTAGCGTCCATGGAGTAGGCTTGCGTAACTTGCTTTAGTGTCCATGGAGTAGGCTGATGTTGGTTGGTATACCTTAAACATGTTTTGTTTTCCCAGTCATGTATTCACCCAGTCTGAATGTTGAAGGGGATCATTATCCAGATACATACTTGTAGCTAATAGTTAGTAATGTGTTACTGTGTGCCATATCGTATATTCATCTTGATCAAGAAAGTATGTAGCGGTCCCGGATCATCATGTCAATGATGCACAAAAGAATATCAATGGTTGGATTAACAGACTTTGGGATTTGTGCACTAATCCAACTAGTGCACTAATTAATGCAATGGATAGGAATCACTGGATACTTTCTCCATTTCAATCTCTAAATTTTATGTATATGTATCAATATTGATTCTCTAAATTTTAAGAAAGTATATAGCGGTCCGGGATCATCATGTCAATGATGCACAAAAGAATATCAATAGTTGGATTAACAGACTTTGGGATTTGTGCACTAATCCAACTAGTGCACTAATTAATGCAATGGATAGGAATCACTGGATTTCTCCATTTCAATCTCTAAATTTTGTGTATATTTTGTGTGTATGTATCTATATTGATTCTTTTATTGATGACTTGGCCGTTGTTTGAATCAAATCACTCTCTCTGCTTTTTGTAGGAGTGGGAAAGACCAAAGCCTGGGCGAAGACCTGATATATTCCCACAGTTCAGCCCGATGAAAACCCCATTGCCACCTCCGTTGCCAGCAGATCCTCCTGAAGAGGACGAGGAAGAAGAGGAAGAAAAGAAAGAGGAAGAAGAGGAGGATCCCGACAAAGAAGAGCCTGAAAACCCCGAGAAGCAGTAATCAGTTCAAATCTTGTTTATGTTTAAATCTTATTTAGGTTTAGCAAATGTGAAAGTTGTATTCTGGCGAGAATGAGTGCAAGTCAATCAGTTGATGTGGGTTACCAAGTACTCAGATGTCAAATTTTGAGGTTCGTCATCTATATATGATCTCATGAGTTTTCATGGTTACCGACCTTGTAGTTATACGCAACTTACCTTATTTATTTTCAAGGTGAAGGTATTACTAAAAGTTGATGGTTCGAGTTTTACCGGCGCTCAAAATATGTATAGCTTGTTGATCATGATTACGTTGAATCGTATTCTGATTGTTTCGGAGTTCATGTGTGTATTGTTTATGGTTGCAAATATATGCGCAGGAACAGCCCTGAATGCTGTTGGGATTTGACGATCATCGCGCTCATAAAATATTTAGAAGGTTAACACATGCACACGATTCAAGTATACGTTACAACATGACGCAATTCTAGACTTGGCCCTGTGAATGATATCTATCAAGTCCTTGAACGCAAAATATCACAAAGTATTGAAATTGCCACGTTGGCTTGCTTATGCAGATTATACATGTCGGAAGTACTAAGTTTTTGAGTCCACAAGAGCTCATAATATATCGTGTACAGCGCAAAGACCATGAATAATAGTAATTTAGGGAGGATCTGTATTCAGTCGCATCTTGCTATGCTCCTGATCTTCTATTGCAAGAGGTCTTTTGTACCTGAAATTATATCATATATCTGCACGTTTCTCTTTTTTCTTTTTTTAAAAAAATAAAAGTAAATAACATATTAAACAATAAAATGTCCAAGCAAAACCTATGGTTCCTTGTATCATTCATAACTGGGCGTGAACACCGTGCAAAGCACGTCATATCACTTTTTTTCTGGCTACAGTAATCCCGATTTTAAATGCTACAATAATTCTTTTAAATTTTTTGAATAGCTACAGTTCTCGCCTCTGCTATAATATTCCAGCGTGCTGCCTACGGTACTAATGCTACAATGAATGCCATTGTAGTATTTACTGTAGTATGAATAGTGAATCTTAGGTATAGAGAGGTAGATAGGTGTGAATCCATTTGTGTCCCTCACATTATGCATCTGGTTTCTATCAATTTATTCGTGAAGTTCATGGAGGTAACAACAAGGACACCAATAATTTACCCCTCACCTACTCGTTCTCATGGCAATAAAGGGATTCAACAACTCCCAACTCAACAATTCATATTTGAGCCCCTCTCGTGTAAATAAATACGCATGCTGTCTGCTCCGTGGCTCCTTCAAATGTGGTAGAAAGAATAATTCTTCTCATTAGCCAAGCATAGTTATTTTCAGAGATGATTGGAAATAAACATACATTGATGAAAGCAAATAAATAGGATTCGGATCCTCTCTACTACAAAAAAAACAGTGGAGGGACCACTACATAATCACGACCATTGATTATCTAGTTAATGGTTGTGATTTTTTTTAGTGCAAATTAGGAATGAGTGCAATACACGGGGATATAGTAAGTGTTAGATTTAGATTGTATCATAACCGCCTACTAAATAATTAACGATTGAGATTAAAAGCAGTGGTCTCTACACTACTTTTTTGTAGTGGAGAGGATCCAAATCCAAATAAATTATGGCATTGATTGGTAAGTAATAATGGTATTGGTTGGAAGCAATAATCTGGTCCTACTCTAAACCAGAAAGGTGCCTTTCACTTTGCTTCTTTGGAGAGAATATAAAACGAGGACTTTCCTTTCAAATCAGTAGAAGATAACCAAATTAAGGCTTTACGGCGCCCTGTCAAAAAGACAAGTATCCTTATAATATATATCCCATGCGGTTTCAATGACAACCTTTGCAACTGCTAAGCAGTGAGGATTATTTTTGATAATCCCATATGAGTTCAAATTTTAATGTAATAAGTTCTTTTTCTAGGGTATAGGGACCGGAAATAAGAATATCTAATTTTTGGAGTTAAAGGGTAATAGTGTCCCTTTAATATTTTTTAAACAGAATTTTTAACGAAAAGTTAAAAAAAGATTAGTTTTATGTTAGATATTTTATGGAGATTAATCTGCGGAATTAAACACTAAACGAATAACGGCACCAATGAAAATACCACAAGCAAACAAACACCAAGATTTAACGTGGTTCGGCAAATCGTACCTACGTCCACAGGACAATCCAGAGAGAAATATTTCACTATGAATCAATGTACAATCCCTCCAAGTTACACCTGAACTTGAGGATTAAATCACAAGAGAAAGATACAGTGTTACCTCTAGGGAACCAAAACCCTAAAATCCGTTTCACCAAAAATCTCTACTACCTGCGGAGAAACCAACACCGCACCCTCGACGACGTCGTCATTCTGAAGACAACGACTTTTGAATCATTACAATCGGACAACCGAACTATCAGAAATCCAAACTTTTCTCTTTTCCCCCCTCTTTTCTTCTCTCGGGTTACTATTTATGGTTTACTATAGCACAAAGAAAAATTTAAAGGTTTCTCATGAATAGAATTCCTTTATAAAGGAATTTTATTTACAAGTCCTCCAAACTTAATCCTATTATAGCTAGATCCTCCAAATCCTCTTCTAAATAGAATTTTAATTAATGTGGATCTAATGTGGGCTTTATCTTGGGCTGAACCCACAACAATCTTCCCCTCCAGCCCAACGAGGGGGTATACCAATCTGTAACTTCTTAACGGAAGTTCGTGCCGGCCAATCGCCGACACAACTCGGTCTTCTCTCTGGAAACGATCTTCGTTAAAAAATCTGCTGGATTTTTTATCTATGTGAATCTTCTCTAACTTTAGCTCCTCTTTCTCAACGGCTTCTCTAAGCCAATGATATCTCAATCAATGTGTTTTGTCCTGGAGTGGAATGTAGAATTCTTGCTCAAATCAAGAGCATTTTGACTATCAATGAAGATTTGATAATTGTCCTACTACAAGCCTAACTCCTGCCGAAATCTTCTCAACCAAATCATCTCCTTACCGGCTTCTGCAACTGCAATATATTCTGTCTCTATTGTAGATAAGGCAACATACTTCTGTAACCTGAACTGCCAATATACTGCTCCCTCTGTAAAAGTGAACAACTAACCTGAGGTAGATTTCCTGTGATCGAGATCACCTCCCATATCCGTATCTACAAAATCATATAATACTACATTCGAATCTCCAAAACTCAAACACAATCTGGAACTGCCTTCCAAATATTTTAAGATCCACTTTACACCTTCCCAATGAACTTTCCCTGGATTAGAAAGAAACCTGCTCACAAAGCCAACTGCATGAGCTATATTTGGCCGAGTGTAAACCATGACATATATCAAACTTCCTACAGTTGAAGAGTAAGGAATACTCTCCATTTTACTCTTTTCCTCATTTGTAATCAGGCAAAACTTTTTGCTAAGCTTCAAATGACCTGCAAGAGGAAGAGTAACTGACTTGATATTTTTTATGTTGAATCTATCAAGTAGCCTTTCAAAATATTTCTCTTGTGATAACCATAACTTTCTGGTTTTCTTGTCACGAGCAATACCCATACCAAGAATCCGCTGTGCGGAGCCCAAATCCTTCATGTCAAAAGATTTAAATAACTCATTTTTTAGTCTACTGATTATTTGACTATTCTGACCAACAATCAGCATATCGTTCACATAAAGCAAAGGGATAATGAAGCTAGAATCTGAAATTCTCCTGAAATATACACACGAATTTGTAACTATCCTCTGGTAGCCATGACTCAATATGAAAGAATCAAATTTCTTGTACCATTGCCTGAGTGCATGTTTCAAACCATAGAGGCCCTTCTTCAACCTGCAAACCATGTGTTCTTTTCCCTTCACTTCAAAACCCTCCGGCTGCTCCATATAGATCTCCTCCTCCAAATCACCATGAAGGAATGTAGTCTTCACATCAAGCTGCTCAATCTCGAGGTCTAATGTAAAACCCCGTGAATTTTGGAAAATAGTGTGAATTATATTGATAAATGAGCTCTAATTATGACAAATATCATTTATGGATGAATGATTATGCAAAAAATTGATTTGAGATCAATTAAGAGTATATATGAGAGTATACAAAGGTTAAACATGCACAAAAAAGAAATCTGGAAAAGTGACCAGTTAAGAGTATATATGCATCACATATCGATACAATTTGAATCTAGAAAAACTCAAAGACAAAAATTGTAGGTATCTTTAATATCTTTCCAACACATCTTAAATCATCTCATTCTGAGGTCAGACGTGAAAGTTACAACTAAAATACCGAAGTCTATTTTCCCAGTCTGACTGAGTTTCCTGTTTCGGGTTTGGGCTGTTTTGATTTGGGTTTGCAGTTATATATATACATATTTACACACGAAAAATACATATTTTCATCAGTATTCCAAACCCTAGCAGCCCTTCTTCCTCTCTCTCTCAAACCCTAATCATAATTTGTGAGATTCGGGAGAGTTCTTGAGGCGTTTGTCGAGAGGAAGGTGGGATTTTGCGACTTTGGTGAAGAGGGATCTTGCATGCACGTGTTCAGGAGTTCAATACGACGTTTGAGGCGAGATCATCTTCCTACAAACATTTTCCTGTAGTTAATTCAAGATTTAATATATTTAATTGATGAATCTCATGTTTAAACTTAACCCAATGTTTTAAAATCTTAGTTTATGATGTTAATCTTTAAACCAATGTGAAAATATATAGTTTTAGTTACTGTTTATATTAGTTTGATGATCATGATCATTAGGATTGTATTTATTTTCATTTTAACTTGTTAATCATGCTTAAATCATGTTTTAACCCTAGTTTAATAATTATTTGAGTGTTCTTGCTAATTTAAAAGGTCTAAACCCTAGGTTGATGATACCTAAGTGATGTGAGCATGTTTAAATGAATTTATCTATGTTCAATATTTAAAATTTATCATGTTTACTTAACCATATTAATAAATTAGGTTATTTGAGCAATTTTGATTAATTAAGATGTTAAACCCTAATTAGTTTAATTCAAGTGTTTATATCATGATGAGTTAATTCATGTTAAGTAATTATGTTAGAGAACAAAATCAATTATTTGAGCTTATAGTTGAGAGAACACGTTGTAATACACAAGGATACTTAGAAGAGTGGTTGGGAGAGACCGTGGTCAATTCTAAGAGGAGTGACGTTGGTTGTAAAGCCTAGGGAGAAGTAGTAAATCCAAGCACTCGAGGAAGGTGATTCAAATCTCAATCCTACTGTATACAATC